GAGAGAGAGAGAGAGAGAGAGTTTGTTCAGATGCCTATAGAAGCCAGAAGAGAGTGTTGGATCCTCTGGAGTGGCGTTACAGGCGGTGTGAGCCATCTGCTGTGGGTGCTGGGAACAGAACTTGAGTCTTTGGCAAGAGCAGTATGTGCTCTTAGTTCATTTCGTCATTCTAGTTCTCTGGCTGATTTCTTAAAGGCTGAAGAAAAAAAAAAACAACCCTTTTTTAAAACTTAGCTTCTCGATCTTCATGGAGTTTGGCTTCGTGGAAACATCTGATGTGAACATCAGATGTTCTATCAAAAACCTACCGGTGGGAAATCATGCTCCTGCTCTCATTATACAGAATAGTGAGGGGGAGGTGGAAACAGCGCCGGCTCACATCGTGGACCACGGTGCTATCACTCTCTGTGTTCACAAAGTCACAGATGACGCAGCTGAAGAGGTGAATGGCTGTGACACACCTTCCCCCACCCAGAGGCCTCCAAGATGTCAGCATTGTCAGCCATCTCTGATGTCGGCAAGGCCTGTTGATCAGGGATACTACTGGAAGCCGAGGATCTGCCAGGGGACTTGGGGTGAGGGGCTGCCGGAGGAAGGACCGAAAGGCGGAGGGGAGAGTGAACCTGGTGAGGGTGGGTGGAGTCACCAATTGTGAATTAACCCAGGTAATCACCTGCCTGGGCTGTGGCTGAGGTGGAAGTACAGGGGCTTTCCATCCCTCGAACTTGACATCAACCACAATGACTGACAATCACACACCGAGAGCCAACATATCATCACGTATCCCATGCAGTCCTGGAGAGCTCTGCTTTGCCAGCCAGGAGGGGAGAACGCACATCCCCTTAGCTGGTTTAGTAGCTTGTCTGACGTATCGAGGCAGAGTTCATTCTGAATGCTCACCCTGACTGTGCTCTCAAGTGTGCTTCTGAGCCGCTGGGATACAGGGACAGACAAGACCTACATGGTCCCTGCCTCTTTCAGGTGTTGCCCTAGTGAAGGGGAGCGGGCACTGGCATGGCTCCATCCGTGCACCCTGAGATGTCCTGGATGGGGTCCAGGTAAGCCAGGGAGTTTAAAGAGTAGAGTTTCCCACTGAGATAGCTCTGCCCACCGAGCAACACCTGCCTGGGATCAGGCCAGCATTCCAGGGCCGAGGCTGACAGGGACTCTCAAGCCGATGGAAGGAGTTTAAGGTTGATGGGATATGTCTCCTAACTGAGAAGATAGAATTCTACAGAAACTGTGATGTCCCCTCCGACAGATGAAAAGTGTCAATGACAGGAATTACTGAGGGTATATATGGCTGTGTGAGAGAGTGTGCGTGGGTAGGTGTGTAGAGGGCACCCTGATTTTATCCTATGATCCTGGAACAGCCCAAAGGCTCAGACCTGCTTCTCCCAAATTGAATGATGTGTCTGTAACAAAGCTACATAGGACAGAGGACTCTGGAGCAGGTAGAGGCAATGGGGAAGAAGAAGGGACCTAGCCTCACTTGTGTGGCTCCTTCTACCCCGCTAAAGGTTAACACAGGGTACCAGGAGATGCCACATCAGCCAGCAGACTCAAGAAGACAACGGTGCCCACTGATGATGGACTCTGCATGGCGATCTCAACACCTGCTCACGTTTCATGCTCCAGCTCTCTTCCTACTGGAATGTGGGCCACGCAGTTAAGAGGAAACGAGCAAAGACTTGGATATTGGGATGTCTTGGGGTTGCACTTTAATTTTAAAATCTACCAGCACTGGGCTCAGGTTCCCCATTTACAAAGGAGGGACAATAACACTTTTAACCTGATGAGACCTGCACTAATTACTTTTTCCATCACTGTAACCAATACCCGACAAAGCCTCGTAAGGAAGGAAGCGTTTAGTTACTTTAGTTGAGAGTATCGTCCATCCTGGTGGGGAAGCCATGGCAACAGGGGCATGAGGGAGTGGGTCACAGACGCTCTCACTGCCAGGAAGCAGACGAGATGAATGCCAGTACTCAGCCCATTTTCTTCTTTCTGTCCAGCCCGGAGCCCCAGCCCATGAGATGGTGCCACTCACATTCAGCACGGCTCTTCCCTGTTCCGCGAAAACCTCTTTTGAAAACATACTCCTAGACCCACTTGGAGGTGGGTTTCCATGGTGATTCTAAACCCTGTCAGGATGACAATGAAGAGTAGCCACCACAGGACCAGAAGCCAGCCTAAAGCAAGAGCTTTGCTGAGCACTGCTGTGGATACCACAGCTCCTTCTTCAGCAGGTATTTCTGTCTGTGTTCAATCATGCCCCCCAGCACACATGACTGCTGTATCTCAGGGCAGGTGTCTCCACTTTATCTCATGAAAACCTTTGGGGTCACTGCTGTCCATCCTAGAATCCTTCCTAATCCTCACTCAAGCGGCTGCAGGGTAACTTATGAGGCACCTCCATCATCCCAGAGGGGTGGCTGCCCCAAGAGTCCACCATACACTCCGCAAATGGAGAGGTGTGTCTATCACATGGGCATTCTAAGGGGAAAAACCTCACCGCTCTAACAACGTTGGGCCCTTGCGAAGACTGAGTCTTCCTTGCGAAGATCAGTAAAGCCAAGTGGAAAGCCATAATAGGGCAAGATCATCTTTGACTTCCTGCAGGAAAAAACATTTGCTTCGGGAACTCACAGTTCAAGTCAATCCCTACCTAACGGTCCACAACAGGCATCTGCGCTCCCCGCCGCCTGCCCTTGTTTTTCTGTCAGCTGTTAAGTCCCAATCAAAGAAAACCTATTCTTTAGACTTAATTTGGACGTCAAGGGCCTCCTCAGGAGTTCTGATTAACTCACAAGGATGCCATTCTCCTCCAGCCCCCTCGGCAGTGTGCAGTACTTAGTGTGAATGTGGGTACCCACGGACTCCAGGAAGTCCTGTTTCCAAAAGAAACCTCAATGTGGGGGGGGGGGCAGCCCTACTCTTTCT